CTGCGGCTACGATCTTAAAAGACGCATGGTACTCCTGGTACGCGCAAGAACCTCGAATGTGGCGCTCGACAGAAGCGGCTACGAAGCCAGCAAGGTCTACCTTTAAGATGATCGTGACGTTTATGAAGCTGTTCCTCTCCGAAGGTTTCAAGCTGAACGAAAATCATCAACGTATCGCGATGAAGTGCTGGCCTTTGGGACACAAGCTGAGGTAAAGCTGCTAGCTTTCCTTCAAGATCGCAAGTAATGTTCTCCCTATACACTGACTGTATAGCCGGATCTACGGGTAGAAAACAGTTAGTTAGTGTCTAGTAAGAAATACTATCATGAATATGCGGAAACAATCGGTATGACTACACCAGAAGTTGATGGCTGTGCGAGATCTTTTATAACTTCACAGGGACATCTCTGTTCAATCCCATTTTTCGTACAATAATACAATAGACATTAACGCATCTTTTTTATGGCAAGCTTCATCACCATGACCATGTTACAATGTGTCGGAAGTTTATATTTGGGTCAAAACCGTCAACTTGCTATCATTACTTTATTCTTTCTTGAAGAAGTAAATATATTAATAAGGTACTGCAGCCTAGCTTTGAAGGTGTTAGATTCATTGATCTCATATCGTCGGTTTCTTTGCCAAGAACACGACTACACCCGTTCCCTATACGCTAAATCGCTTTTTTGACGAGGTTATAAGCGCAAATATGTACCATATCTTTCCCCGTTGAAGTCGAAACATCTGTAATTTATAATTTTAAATCAATCCATTAATAGTCAATTTACATTAAGATAATTACACCGTGTATTGATGGGAACGTTTGTAGTATACATAGTTAGCCTCAAATGAAGGCTCATCTAAATTAACCTCATTTTAAAGCTTTCATCTAGAGCATGGTGCGCCTCTCGCGGCGTCAGCGTGCAGCGAGCGCACAGCGTCGACATTATCAAACTGGGCAATTGCTACAAGAAGTAAGCGTTCGAGACCTAAATAAACCTGTGCGAATACGCGTTCAAGATGCTGAGCCAGATGCTATCGCTTCACCGTTCGATTTATTCAGCGTTGATGATGACCCAGATGTTGAAAACAGCTATATAGGTTTAAGTCCCACTCCAGGAATCTAGTTGTTAGAGTCCCCACCTGCTGATCGAACTGACAGCGAGGCCAGGTCTCCTGTATCAAGTGATGACGAAGGACTATTTCCTGTTGAGAGCATATACGCCATGGAAATAGTAGATATGCAGTGGTCAAATGGGTGGGGTGGGAGGTCCCTACTTGGAGCCGTGAACGACACACACCACCCGATCTCATCAGTGAATTTGAAGAAGCTGAGCTAAATTCTGCGTGGCCAGAGTACATTTCATTGGAGGTGGGGCCAAACGGAAGGCGCGTTTATCGATTGTTGTAGGAGGTAGCATACTCGAACAAGTTAATAAGCCAGAAAATTTAATTTTGACAACTAACACCAGCACTTACAGTCAGCTAACATGGAGCTAACACTTAGATAGTGTCTAGTAAATTTCGCTAACATGTAAACGCCCTACGCTATTCACAAGATCACCGCTCGTGGAGCCCAAAATGTCTTGAAGTCCTGCGCCAGCTCCACAAGAGCGGCCTTCTCAACGATCATAGCCGTAGCTACCACCAACTTCACGCTGCGGGACGCATCACCGACCCTGCACCTTTGCATTCGAAGTCATAGCGTTAGATTGCGTCCAGTAATGACACGCTACTTGCCTGGTCCAGTCGTTTCCTACCACGTTGCTTAATATTGAAATCATTCTGCAATTTACACCCCACCTTACCGTCACACTGCTCATCATGTCAGCGATCAAGCTGACCAAACCCCCCGTTAGCTCTTGGAAAGAGTTCAAGACCCAGTGTATCACACCAGACAAGGCGTATAAGCTTCGCCTGGATGATGAAGCGATTTTCCACCTCCGACTTACCTTGAACGCGATCGTCGCATCAGCAAGCCTTCTTCCCGAAACTATCCAAGTCATCTACGAAGCCATAAAGAAGCGGAAGAAGCGACGGGCGGTACTTGACGATGTTCGCGAATGGTGTGTCGAGCCTCCTCCATCTGATGCTGACGACGATCACGTAGGCGGCGAGAAGAGACAGGCGTACTACCTCGTAGACTGGCAGCCAACGTGGGAGACGAGGGAGCGCATTCACAAGTCTGTTGTTGCTGCCTTCGAAAAGTAGCGCCACCTTCTTGTTCGCAAGCGCTTCTTCGAGGACGAGGCTGTGGAGGACAACTCACTCAACGTCGCAGAAGGTAACGCAGAGTAAGCAGTAAGAGCTAATACTGGATGTATTCCATGCTTAAGAAGCAGTACCTAAACGTATGCATTGGTAGCACCGTATTGAACACTAAGCTTGTGGAACAGCAAAGTTAACCTCGTTACAGAGTACACGAAATACACATTTGAGTACTGCATCAAACACAAAGCTTAACCTCCTTTCAGAGCAGCAATGCTAACCTTGACGCAAGCAATCACACAACGCATAGACAGCAGAGGTGGCCACATATCGCACATACACAAAATATACAAACCCGCAGATAATCAATGTAGCGGGCCGATGATAAACTAGTAGCGGTTGGGCGACTTGTCCCTTACCAGAAACAAAAACAAGAATGAAGCTTTGTTTATTTTTGCGGCCCCAAAAGCGAGCCGTTAAGAGAAAAATGCTACTGATAAGGGTTAACCCACGTAGCCAGTTGTTGCTAATAGTAATTACGTGTAAAACGTGCCGTAAAAGAGAATAGTCTGCTTCAATTAGTGGACTTCGATTTCTGAACCGGGGCCTCATTTCGCTTTTTGCAGTGTAGCGTGAGCACCCATCTGGGCTAAAAAATGCATAATCAGTAAATTGCTGTTTTCTTAGCCCACAGGCCGTTTCAGAGCCTACGATTGCGGCTATAAATTCGCTACAAACTCGCTACAAACATATTTCTGGCCTCGCCTATCCCAAAACCTGACCCCCTAAGCTTCTAAAACAGCGTCAACCGAGTCCTTGAAGACGTTCTCTGCAGCTACGCGACTTCGTACACGAGCTGGTGTCCCCTCCTGCCGTTAGCCGAATTCGCACTCAACAACGCCGAGCACTCCTCGACGGGCATGACGCCGTTCTTCGTGAGCAACGCTCACCTCCCATCCGTCCCCGGTGCGCCGCAGGACGACCGTAAATCAACACATTCATATCCAGCCGAGCGTAGCCGAATCTCGGGCGGATGTGTGTGGTCATGAGGATCCACCGTCGGATTCCGATGAGCCCGATTCCTAAAACGCATCGGTTTGTAACTGCAAACCTCATACACGGGGCGAAAGGCCAAGCTCCACTGCGGTTGACCTCCGATCCAGATCGACACATTTATTTCCAGACGACCGTAGCCAAAGCTCGGGCGGATCAGTGTGGTCATGATGATCCGCCGTCGGATCCTGATGAGCCGGTGTCTAAACCGCCTCGGTTCGTCAATGCAGAGTTCATAAAGGAGGCGATTGACCAAGCTCTGCTGCAGCTGAGATCCCATCCTGATCGACACATTCCTATTCAGTCGCCCGAAGCCACCCTCGTGGCTCCACCCACGTAAGAAGTTGTGGTACAGCGTCTGTTGCGCCTCGTCGACCGGCACCGTGTTGGGCACTTCGTACGTGGGACCGTGCGTGGCGTCGCCCGTGTTAGGCACAGCCGTGGTGTAGCGCAGACCCTTGTACGACTCGAAGTCGATCTCGCTCATGGGCAGAGCGGCGCTGCTTGCGGAACCCATACTGAAACCAAGAGAAAGAAGACTGAATGTACGCGACGCCAACAAAAAGGCGGAATAAGTAGGCTGCGTGAATAGTCACTATTTACCACACACATCAGTAGTAAATAGTGACTATTCACGCAGCCTACTTTTTCTTATTAAAATTGAGCAAGGAGAATAGGTTTAGTCGTTTCTAAGCTCAAAGATCATTTTTAACGAGACGACCGCTCGACCACCTGAGAGCGCGAGCACTATTCGCTACTTCAGAAGGAACCCTAATCAATAAGTCTAGATCATGACAAATCATAAATGAGTAAACAAAAAAGTAATGAGTTGATCCTGATACATAAACTACTAAGTATATAAACTCACTACTAGCAATCAGTAATAATGAACGTCGAAAACGAGTTTAAATCTTGAGGATGAGAAGCTACATTTTTACGAATCAATCTCTGGAAATGAAGAGATTCAGCTTGAAGACATCGTCAATGATGAAATTCCGTTTGAATATGAGGAAGAAGCATTAGACAACTCAAAGACGAATATCGTTCGAACGAAAAGTTTAACATATTTTCTAGCTATACCCAGGATCTAGTTCCGCTAGCTAAAAATACAATGGACTATGATATTCATGCAGAAACCTACTACTTTTTAGAGCTTGATATAGAGTTAATGTAACTTGTAGATAAATTGGGGAGGCTTCAGGATTTATTCCGTACTCAGATCGCTGAGGAACTTATTGACAAAGCCATGCGCCCTCGACGTACGATGTTATGTATTCATCAGCTCGACGATACGGAGGATTACTTCGAAAAGATCTAAAAGCTTTATATCCACCATTTTTTTTACATCACATACCTAAATTACGTAGTTCTAAAGTAGTTCATCAATAGCAGCACGTAGCTTCGGAGCTTTTTCCGTAGAAAATTTACACGATCGTCGCCGGTATAAATACTCTTTATCAAGAGTGAAAACTTGCTTGGCTGACTTCCCCTTGTACTTACCAAAATTTAGCACATACGATCCATCGTTTGGTTCATTTCCGAACTTACTCAATAGAAATTTTGCAATATCAGAATCAGCGGACCGATGAGCATTTCCTGAGAATGGTTCCAGTGACAATATTCTGGGTCCATAAGGAAGACCTCTCGGACGGTTGAGCCTTTGTGCTTACCGAAACAGAGCTGTGTGGACATGGTATCTATATACCAATACATATTATTAAATTAAATTTATAATTCCCTAAAGCAGTTGTAAAAAATCCAAAACCTCTCCTGTTAGACGATCATAAGTCAGCTCCTGCTCGCTCATTACGAGGACTATCATATTAACACCTTCGCAACCGGCGTTAAAGCCTTGAATTTGGATGCTCTGAGGGACACCACGCTCCGTCAGGCGGCTAACATCAGCAATGAGGACGCGGTTGGTCAACGACCACGACTGGTAACCAAGCAGCCCGTTAACTAGTTCAGGTGTCAGACCACCATTGATAGCACTAATTTTGGAGACTTCGTTAGAGAACTGATGAAAGTCGTAGTCATGACTAATCAAAGCACTGAGTCGAACCGATGCGAACATTGAAATTTCTAATCGATGAGCCAGGGTGTAGCGTCCAAGGAGCGCTATCAAACGGACTCTGAAACACTTGCACAGCCGCTGAGTTGAGACTATTCGTCTGCTCAGCAAACGGTAGTAGAATAACGTATTTGGCGTTCTTAACACTAGCCGATAGCTGTATATAGAAGGATGCATTAAGTTGAGTTGACTGCTTACCGATGCCGGCGCGTTGGTAGAAAAGATAACCATAGCAATCGTTGAAACGAACCTTCTTCACGGGCGTCGAGATAATAGCTTGAGGATTCTTTAGATGCGTAACCGGCACATAGAGACGACTCGTTGTAAATGACATATAAGTACCATCAATAGTTGGTTCCAGCGCGTTTACAACCGCTCCCCATGCGATCCTGAACGAGCCAGCACTCCAGCTATTGGATTATAGGTTGAGGACGCAGCAACCCTTACCGGACAAGTATTACCTGACGAGATAGTAGTAGATGCTAACGACATACCCTTCGTAGTATTGACACCAGCCGAGGAGACGCCCTGATTAACGCGGAAGTGCAGACGGATTTTAGGCTTGGCCATTAAGTCAAGCTCCTCGGAAATATGATGCCGATACCGCCGGCTCAATCTTGAGCATATAATTCCAAGTACAGTACCCATAATCGCGTTAGATGTCATTGCGCCAGCAACGAAAGCTCCGCGTGCGGTTTGATTAGCGATCGTGGTAGATGCAGCAGCGGAGCCGAGTGATGGCCAAGAGCTAGAGAAATCAGTGCCCGCGCTAGGAGGATTTGGATGGGAGTCATTTAACGAAGCCATCATTGACGAAAGATGCGCCGCCAGCCGCTGCACTCGTTCCAAATTAAGATGAGAATGCGCTAGTATTATTGTATCCGTCTCCCGTAGTAGAATTTGGCTCCCGAGCTGTATAGAATCGACCGATCAGCATCTGGGTAGAATAAAAACTCTGCACCATGCTTCTCAACGTATTGAGGACTATATGGTGTATGAGCTCGAATTTTTTCCAAAAGCGCTTGTAATCAGCCATGGATACAATGGTCTTACCGTTGAGCTCCAAACTTATCGAATCAATAACATTCCAATTACCACATTTCAGAGTCGCGTGGAAACGATTGGCCGCAGCTGTCTGGGCTGTCGCACCGTTCCGCATCGATAACTTGTATGAAAGCATGGCGTAAGCGTCATGTAGCGAAGCAAATCCTTCGCTTCCATTGCGCTGAGCCGTAACATCGATGGTAACGACGACATTTTGATACGAACCTTGAGTCAAATCGATCACAAATGGTACGCGCTTTCCTAAAGACACCTTGATCACTGGATCGCTCTTCAGCGAGCTTTGGTAGAAGAACCGATCGGAGAGTTGCGTTTCAGTCATGGTTTAAATCCATATCCGGAAATATTTAGTTTTCGAAATAAATTATATAATAGAGCTTATTAGAGACATAACGAGTGATCACGATCTTATTGAGCTTGCTGGGAAAATTGGTGTTCATCTTGATAACATCTATATTGGCTTGGGGCTTGTTGAGTAAGAGGCAAATACCGAAGTGAGTAAATGAGTGCTAATCAAAACTGTCTCACATGTCTATCTAAGCACTATCTCTCTGTTGTTCCTCTTGTTGTCTTCTCGTAAGTGTGGCGTAATCACTAATGCCATGTGCCTTCATCCAATCATAGCGCTCCAGCATGTGATTACCCAATGGCGTTCCAGAAGCAGTTCCAGCCAATAGTGGAACGGTTCAGTAACGGCTCCAACGGTCACGCCTAACCGTGCTGAGCCGGTGCAACTGCAACACTCCCACTCACCGCTACTACACGGTAGCCTTGTTCTCAATGCCGGTCGCATCGCGCTGGAACGCCAGGGTCTACATCCCAAGCGACTTTGTTAGCGTGTCGTCCAGTAGAAACTGCGCGTCGCCGTAGTCCACCTTAGCCGTTCTACGTTTCACTTTCTGACGGATGTCGACGTGCTTGCCCCTTGCGTGATATCTAGTGTTCCTCTCCAGTGTAATAGCGTCCTTCCAAATCTGCATCGCTCCCACTTGCTCTTGACCCGTCTCCTTGTGCATCCGTCGTGGCCATAGCACCTCTTTAGTGCACAGGCTCAGAGCCCTGTACACCAGACACACGAGCAAGGAGCGGTACGGCTGCGACTGCATCTTGAAGCGTTCCAACTCCATCTCGGAGCGTTCCAACTCGATCGTCGGCGACATAGCCGTCGATAGCTTCACATTTGACAGGCACGGGTTTTCCACCACCTTGGCGTTACGCTGATTGAAGCGTTCCACAACGTCGTCAATGCATATTGTCTACTTGATAATGAGCGTTCCATCTGGAATGCCGTACCTGATATCCGTACCGAGAATGACCTTGGCCTCGCCAGGTTTCTTCATCCTAAAGGCGTTCTTCAGCTCGTCCTTATATCGGATAATTTGTCCATGCTCGTCACGCTTCTTGGCAAACACCCAACGATTCTCGATACGACGTGCATGCGTTCCATGTGGAACGATAGTCCTCGTTCCGCTTTCAGCGCGCGTCTGCACCTTCTCATTCATACCCTGACGCCGTTCCTCTGCTTTAGCACTAGCAACGTCTTCTTGGAACGCGTCAGGGGTATCAGGAGCGCCTCCCATATCAACAGGAGACGCTAAGACTGCCTCGGCGATTAAGCCGTTCTCGTCGCTCCTGGCACGCTTCGGAGCTGGCGCGTCGTCGTTTCCGTCCGACTTGTGCTCTATGTCATCAGCTGCTCTGTTCTCAAGTAGGAACACAGACTCCCGCGATCTTCTTGAGCGTTCCGTATCAGGGTGGAATACCAGGCGTTCGTCGGGGAACGCCTCGGGCGGCGGGTGGTACGCTGCTAGTTTCCAATCCTGCCGTTCTTGGTTCCACTGGAGGAGGCAGCGCTTGATGCGCTGCACTCTGTTCTGGTTTCAACTCGTCCATTTCAACGCCTTGGACAGGTTCCTCCACCTCTTCCATCGGTTCGTCTGCAACGGCTAGGCGTTCCACTTCGGTAGGAGCGCCAGATTCATCGCCGTTCGTAGCCACCTGGACAACCGTTGTGGGCGCTGGCAACAGCGTGTCGTAAATACCTCCAGTTTCACGCTCATCCAGTTTCACGGAACGTGACACCTTAACCTTGGACGCGTCCCAGTCGTAAACACGATACCCTTTAACGTTCTCGGCGTACCCAAAGAACGTGCACCTGGAACCCTTGGGTTCGAGCTTCGTTCTCTTCACGTCATCAACTTGAGCGTACCCTTGCGATCCGAACACACGCAAGCGATCCATCCGAGGTTTTGCTTGGAACGACATCTCGTACGGCGTGACATCTGAGTTCGCCGTGTTCGTGGAACGATTGGTGAGGTACACCGCTGTACTCACTGCTTCCGCCCACCACTCTGTCGACATGGACTTGTAATGTAGCATGCTACGCGCCTTCTCCATGATAGTCCGGTTCATGCGTCCCACCGATCCGTTCTGCTGAGGGCTGTATGGAACGGTACGCTGATGCACGATGCCGTTCCGTGGCAAATATCAGTGACCGTCTATTCACGAACGCCGTTCCATTGTCGGAACACAAACACTTCAGGCGTTTCCCCATTTATTTTCGTGGAGCGCCTTGAATTCTTTCAACTTGGTGACTACTTCAATCTTGTTCTTCATGAAATACGCCACGACATACCTCGAGTAGACGTCCAGGAACGTCAGCACGTACTAGGCACCACCTTTCGAAGGTGCTCTCATAGGCCCCATGACGTCCATGTGGACCAGTTCCAACACACGCGTAGTCTTCGTCATCGACCGCGACGGGAGCGATGTCACAGTCTGCTTCCCCTTCATGCATCCACCGCATAAAGCGCGGGATCCCGGTCGTGGAACGCTGTGTGTTAGCCAGCGCTTCTTTGTTGGGATGTCCCAAGCGAGCGTGCCAAAGCTCCCACTCGCTCCCAGCCCCGGCGTACTGCACGAACCGTGCTTCTTCTTGCTGACAGTCTAGCAGGAACGCCTTGCCAACTTTCTTGCCCGAAGCAATCGCGCGATAGGAGCTTCAGATCACACATGAGGAACGCTGGAACTCCACGCGCAAACCCCGTTCCGCGAGCTTCCCCACCAATAGCAACCGTCTGTCGAGTCCCGAAATGTACAGTACGTCGCACATACAAATGCGTCTTCCGTCCAGACCCATCAGCTGAACCGTTCCCGTTCCTTCGACGCGCAACTTCTTGCCGTCGGCGATCGTCACCTTGATGCCAGTGTCCAGGCCCTAAAACTCGACAAAGTCCTTCTTGTAAGGAGTCATGTGCGACGTCGCACCACTGTCAATCAGCCACCGAGCGTTCCTCATCCACTGCAACTGCAAACACGGCATCACCATTGCTGTCACCGTTCCCAACGGGACAGTCTCGCTTCATGTGGCCCACTTGGTCACAGTTGAAGCACTTTCCTTGGAACGTTCCGTTCTGTCACGGACCGTTCCACTTTCGGCCTTTCCCTCGGCCGCCCTTGGAACGCTTAGCGTTCCCGTTCGCTTAGAACGCCTTCTCTGCGGTAGTCTCCTTCTTCTCGAGGAGTTCGTACTCCTTGAGCAACTTCTCCTTAACCTCGATAAGCGTCACGTCTTTAGCGTTCTCCACGATGGACGCGATAAGCTCGTACTCGTCCGGAAGACTGCTAAGCAGTATCACGAGCTGCCGTGCCTCGTCCATTGGCTCTCCAAGCGTCTGAAGACCAACAATCAACTCGTCGAACGCGTCCAGATGACTGGCCATAGGCGTTCCACTCTCCATCTTGAACTCATTAAGGGGACGTGTCATCTTAACACGATTGTGCAGCGTCGTCCGGTTGTAGAATTCTCGAAGCGTCCCCCAAGCCTCCATGGCACGCGAGGCGTTCCGAATCTTGGTCTGGTGCTGGGGTTCCACGCCTTGAGCAATAATACCGAGAGCTCTCGCGTCTTTTACAAGCCGTGCCTCGGTTATCTCGCTCTCGAGCTTGACTACTTGAACGTGCACCAGAAGCCTCAGCCTCGCCAAGGTCATGCGCATGTTGTACTCCCAGTGAACATAATTCCACTGCCTAGGAGGACTTCAGCTCTCTTCGTAGTCATCCTTCTTTGCCGTTTCAGATCAGACGTTCCAGGCAGAGTCGTAGTTGCGGCTGTTAACCTATTGATTTGGGGCTTGTTGAGTAAGAGGCAAATACCGAAGTGAGTAAATGAGTGCTAACTAAAACTGTCTCACATGTCTATTTAAGCACCATCTCTCTGTTGTTCCTCTTGTTGTCTTCTCGTAAGTGTGGCGTAATCACTAATGCCATGTGCCTTCATCCAATCATAGCGCTCCAGCATGTGATTACCCAATGGCGTTCCAGAAGCAGTTCCAGCCAATAGTGGAACGGTTCAGTAACGGCTCCAACGGTCACGCCTAACCGTGCTGAGCCGGTGCAGCTGCAACAATCTACGAATCATCTAAAATAATCAAGCCACTCCCTAAAAAGGGATCGTTTATAATTCTGATGAGACATTCTACTCTTGAGATCGGCGGCAGTCCACCACAATGGATACCACGGCAGTATGTGCGAAAGACCACCAACAAAATTTGGAATCAGTAAATATAACACCAAACAATATCAAGGTACGTATGATAACTATTGTGGGATATGGTGTCTCCTTTGGTTATACTCAAAGCAGAAAAATCATCCCAATTAATTCAAAAACATGCGCGATATGAATTTAATCGTTCTAGAATAAATTTGATATATACGAATATAGACCAGTCTTCGCCTTGCTTAACCATGCACCGTCAACTAACGATTTCAAGCGATGTACCAGCACCCAAGCTAACCCGAGCTCTAAAAACGGTTAAGATCTTACTTACCACCAATGAGCTCAAAAGTAGCGGAGCAATTGTTCATCTTCATCCAACTTCCTATGATGAGGCAATGAAGGCTCGCAATGCAGATCGTGGCGATAGAGTCGATATCACCCGTCAAGAGATCAAGAAAGGATACAAGCGAGCTCAAGGCGGATCCATCTGGAGTAAAACCAAATCCGGTCTAAAATCGGCATTCAGCTTTCTCAAAGAATGGAATTCTATCTAAAGCAGCCGACTTTGCAGTACCCGCTCTAGCGACAGCATTCGAAACTCCTCAAGCAGGCATTCCAGCTCGTTTGGCTCTCCAATCGCTTACGGGAGTAGGCCTTTATCATTGTGCTGATGAAACCGCTGGAGATCGACGTACCATAGCTGATGTCAAGAAGACAGCAAAATAATGCCCTCTCTTATGCTAAACGAAAATGAGTATTAACAGATGGAGTCGATGCTGGCGAGCGTTATCTACTCTCCAAAGCAACCAAACCAGAGCATGAGA